GGGCCATTTACTATAAGTGATCTTCAACACTGAGCACTGGCGGAAATAAACAAAGAGGGGTGCCTGGGTGGCTCAGCCGGTTAAGTGTCTGATTTCTGGCTCAGGTCCTGATCTCGCCGGTGAGTTTGAGCCCCGCCTCAGGCTCTGTGCTGACAGCTCAGAGCCTAGAGCCTGCTTCAGATTCTGTGCCTTCCTCTCTCTCTTTGCCCCTCCCCTGCTCATGCTTTTTGTCTGTCTCTCGAAAAATAAACATTAAAAAATTTTTAAAAAATAATAAAGTAGGCTTCACGCCCAGCATGGAGCCTAAAGTGGGGCTTGAACTCATTATCCTGAGATCAGGACCTGGGCTTAAATCAAGAATTGGATCCTTAACTGACTGAGCCACCCAGGTGCCCCACTTTTTTTTTATTTTAACACAGAGAACAGGCTTCTGGCTTATAGCCAAGAACACTTCTGTTCATCAACTTAATTCTGGTTTAAAAAAATTCTTCCTATCTACCCATCCATTTATCTACTTACTTATCTTTACCTCCAAGTGGCATGTATTTAATGAGGATAATTGTCCAGTTGGCGGACATTGGGTTCCTTGAGCCTTCCGAGTGCTGAGAACAGTGCTGCTCTGAACGTTTGTGAACAAGTGTTTGTTTTAGTGCCTGTTTTAATTTCTCTGGGGTATATCACTGCGAGTGGAATTAACCAGGTCATCTGGTTAATTCTCTGTTTGACTTTTTGAGGAAGTGCCAAACTTTTCACATTCTTACCTAGCCGTGTCTGAGCGATCCAGTTTCTCCAGGGCCCTATCAAAGCTTGCTGGTTTCCATTATGTTTTGTTTGTTTGTAGTGGGGGTGATCAGCGTGTCTCATAGTGATTGCGGTTTGCATTTCCCTCACGGCTCCTGATGTTGAGCAGCTTTTCATGTGCTTGTTTGGCCATTTTTATAGTTTCTTTGGAGAAATGTCTATTCAAGTCTTTTGCTCATTTTCAATTAATTAATTTATTTTTAAAGTTTCTCCTTTTAAGTAATCTCTACACCTGATATGTGGCTTGAACTCACAACCCTAAGACTGAGAGTCGCATGCTCTACCAACTGAGCCCGCCGGGTGCCCCTTTGCTCATTTTTAAAAAAAAAATGTGTGCTTTATTAAAAAATTTTTTTGTTTGTTTTTTTACTTTGGGGGGAGGATGCAGAGAGAGAAAGGGAGAGAGAAAGAAAGAGAAAGAGAGAATCCCAAGGAGGCTCCATGCTTGTCAGCACAGAGCCCAATTCCGGGCTCGAACTCACAAACTGTGAAGTCATGACCTGAGCCGAAATCAAGAGTCCGAGGCTTTAAAAAAATTTTTTTAAGTATATTTATTTATTTTGAGAGAGAGAGAGTAAGCAGGGCAGGGGCAGAGAGAGGGGGTAGAGATTCCTAAGCAGGCTCTGCATTGTCAGCACGGAGCCTGATGTGGGGGTCGAACTCAAAAACCATGAGATTATGACCTGAGCTAAAACCAAGAGTCGATGCTTAACTGACTGAGTCACCCAGATGCCCCGTCCCCTTGGCTCATTTTCAATCGTGTTGTCTTCGTTGTTGTGTTATAGGAGTTCTTTAAATATTCTTGGTCCTGGACTCTGATAAGACTTGTGATTTACAAATGTTTTCTCCCAGGGTGTAGGTTGTCTTTGCATTTTATTGCTAACATCTTGGATGCACAAAAGTTTTAAGTTTGATAAAGTCCAGTTTATCCATCTTGTCTTTGGTTGATCATGATTTTGGTGTCCTAAGAACCCATTTCCAGAACCTATGTCATGAAGCCTTGCCCCTGTTTTCTTCCGATAGTTTTATAATTTGAACTCTTCCATTCAGGTCATGGATCTGCTCTGAGTTGATGTTTGTATATGGTGTGGGGTAGGGGTCCGACTCCATCCTTCTGCATGTCCACGTACCCATACTGTTGTGGCACCATTTGTTGAAGAGATTCATCTTTCTCCATTAGAGTCTTGGGACCCTTGTTGAGAATCACGTGGCCCCAGATGGATACCTCCCTGAGCTTCCATTCCCTGACCCGGAAGATGGGTGTCGTAAGGATGAAAACGGGGCTCATAACATGAGAAACAGAGCGGATGAGGGTTGTTATTCTCTCGCCTCCCTTCTCCAGCTGTCATCCTGAGATGACAGAGAGCTCTGCTCTCTGCCCCCTCCACCAGAGAAAAGAGAGACTCTGGCGTGACTCTCCATTAAACCCGTGGCTTCTATGCTGCGGGGGAGGAAACTGTCAGAGCCGTTACTAGAAGGCTGGTCTTAGATATTCAAGGACCCTGGGCACCTGGGTGGCTCAGTTGGTTAAGCGTCCGACTTTGGCTCAGGTCATGATCTCACGGTTCGTGGGTTCGAGCCCCATGTTGGGCTCTGTGCTGACTGCCAGCTCAGAGCCTGGAGCCTGTTTCCAATTCTGTCTCTCTCTCTCTCTCTCTCTGACCCTCCCCTGCTCACGCTGTCTCTCTCTCAGAAATAAATTAAAAAACATTAAAAAAAAAAAAAAGATATTCGAGGACCCTCAGCTGTTATCTCCTTGCCATGAATTAGCATTTGGCATCAGAGCAGAGCTGACTTATAGAGACGTAGTATCAGTTTTTAGGACTGAAAGTGCCTGCCACATCATCTCCTTCAATCCTCTTATTTAGAGTTGAGGAGGGAAAGAAGTCAGTCACCTCATGTGGAGGTCATGTTTCCACTCCCCGGCACATCCCCTGTCCCCAGACCTCCCTCCCATTGTGAGGAGAGAGAGGGGGTGAAATGGGGCTTGCCTGGGAAATCTGTTAAACATCTCTGCCTTCTCCCACCAACCTGCATGTTCCTCTTGCCCTTGACCATAGGAAAGTGATGTCTATAAAATATCTATTGCTGTGTCTGCCCATGGAGCCCGTCCCTGTTTACAGAACCTGAAGCAAACGAAAAGAACCAGAATATCTATTCTGTGTTTTTCGGGGGCTAAAAATATTCCCTTATTCTGTGAACATAGCTGTTTACCTAATTACAGGTGTTACCCATTTTCCATTTATGGGCCTGGCTTAAATAGATTACAAAATTTTTTTAAGCCTCTAATAATATTTACTGGCAGGCCTTTATTTTAAACTTAATCCTTAGAGGCTGTTTTTCCTTTTAAGTTCTTATGATTCTTTTTTTTAAAAATGTTTGTTTGTTTATTTTGAGGGAGAGAGAGAGACAGCATGGACAGGAGCGGGGCAGAGAGAGAGATGGAGAGAGAGAAGCCCAAGTGGGCTTTGCACTGTCAGTGCAGAGCCTGATGCGGGGCTTGATCTCATAGCCGTGAAATCTCATGACCTGAGCTGAAATCAAGAGCAAGAGGCTTAATTGCCTGAGCCACCTAGGTGCTCCTACATTTTTTATTGTCCTTGGATAAGATGATGCTGTTGCTGTCCTGAGGCCAGGGGGCAGTGAGGCCAAGTGTTGCTTTGGAGAGGAACTTTCTTGCTCAAGGAAAAGGGTGATAGCGTTAGGCAGGGACAGGCATTGGGTCATCCGGTCCTGGGCTGGAATCCTGGTCCCCTCTCTGCTTAGTGCTATGACCTTGGACAAGCTACTGAATCCCTTCGAGTTCCGCTTTCCTCAGCTGTAAAATGAGAATCGTAAGATCTAGGTGCTGGGTTTGTGCGAGAATTGGAAACGGCATAGGGCTTTGGTACTTTCTCCCAACAGATACTGAGGATCTGCTCTGTGCCAGGCTCCATGCTAGACTTTGAGCGAGATGGAGAAGCGAGTATCTGTAGTCTAAGAGGAGGAGAGGGAAACAGTGTCTGCGCTAACTGCTTTCCTAAGTGCCGTGTTGGGAGGTACGGCAGGCGAAGAATCATACCTGCTACAAGGTGGATGAACCTTGTAAAGATCATGCGAAGAAGCCAGATGCAAAAGGTCACATTAGGTGTGATTCCATTTATGGGAAATGTGCGGAATGGGGATAGAGACAGAAAGCAGGTTAGTGGCTGGCAGGAGAGACTGGGGGGACTCAGGCAAGGGGTCATGGGGAGTGACTTCTTAATGGGGGCGGGTTCCTTTTGGAGTAACAGAAATGTTTTGGATCTAGATAGAAGTGACGATGGGGCGCCTGGGTGCTCAGTCTGTTAAACGTCTGATTTCGGCTCAGGTCATGATCTCACCGCTCATGAGTTCGAGCCCCACATCAGGCTCTGTACTGACAGAGCCTGGAGCTGCTTCGGATTCTGTGTCTCCCTCTCTCTCTGACTCTTCCCTGCTCATGCTGTCTCTCTCTCTCTCAGAAATAAATAAAACAAAAAAAATTTTATGTAGAAGTGATGGTTGCACAATGCTGTGAATGAACTAAATTCCACTGACTTGTGCACTTGAGAAAGGTAAATTTTGTTATGGGAATTTTGTGTCAATAAAAAATGCAGCAGAGCAGGTGAGGGACACTCTGTTTTTTTAAAATTTTATTATACTTATTTATTGAGAGAGTGCAAGCAGGGGAGGGGCAGAGAGAGAGAGAGAGGGAGGGAGGGAGAATGCCAAGCAGGTTCCACCCTCAGTGTGAAGCCAGATGCAGGGCTCAAATCCCTCGACCTTGGAATCATGACCCTACCCCAAATCAGGAGTTGGACACTCAACTGACTGAGCCACCCAGATGCCCCAGGGACACTCTTTTATATAGAATGGTCGGGGATCAGAGAAACAGTGATAAGATCCCATTGAAACAGGGACATGGGGAATGTGAGAGGAGCCATGTGAAGAGGTGGTAGGAACAGCCAGGGCAAAGGCCCTGGGGTAGGAATGAATGTCTGGGTGTTCCAAGAAGCTCAAGGAGGACAGTGAAGCTGGAGCAGAGTCACCTAGGTGAGAGTGGTAGGTGATGATGTCAGAGTGATAGGGTCCAGATTCTACACAATGTTGCAAGCATTCCTCTAAGATGGGGAACTAGGTGTTTTTCGGGTTTTGTTTTTTAAATATTTTTTAATGTTTATTTTTGAGAGAGGGAGAGAGAGAAAGCACAAGCAGGAGAGGGTAGAGAGAGAGGGAGACACAGAATCGGAAGCAGGCTCCAGGCTCTGAACTGTCAGCATAGAGCATAGAGCCCGATGCCGGGCTTGAACCCATGAACTGCGAGATCACGACCTGAGCTGAATTCGAACACTCAACCGACTGAGCCACCCAGGCGCCCCCTAATGTATTTTTAAAAATTATTTATTTTCCAGAGAGAGAGAGAGAGAGAGAGAGAGAGAGAGCACACAAGTAGGGGAGGGGTAGAGAGAGGAGGACAGAGGATCCAAAGCAGGCTCTGCGCTGACAGCAGTGAGCTCATGAACAGAGAGATCATGACCTCGGCCCTAAGTCGGATGCTCAAACGACTGAGCCACCTAGGCGCCCCTCCAAGGAACATGTTAAGAGCAGATCCTTAAGGAGGGCAGCTCCGGCTTACTGAGTGCCTGCTGTATGTCCTGCATTTTACATGTTGGGTAAAAGGACCCGTTGGGTGTTTTTTCACTCTCCCAGCAGCCCTTAGAAGTAGGTATTGTTAGTATCCTCACGTTGCCCTGGGGAAACATCTGGAAGGGAGGAAGTGATGTGTCTGAAGGCACAGAGCTGCTACATCCATGGCTGAGTCAGGTAGCTCCAAAGCTGACGCTTCACGGTGTCTCTGGAAGGAACATTTGGAAGGATTTAATAGTGGGCGGGTTGTGTTTTTACATTTATGTGAATGATTAAAAGCCCGCATGAAAAGGCCCCGGGTGGCATGGTTAGGGAGGAATATCCAAAGCTGTTTCAGGCACTACACCTTCTAGATTAGTAAGATACCACTTGAAGATTGCAAAATCATTCTAGTCCCAGGTCGTGAATTCCAGCGGGGAGATCACCAAGGTGGAGGGAGACTTTGGGTGGCAGCTTCTGTGGCTCTATGCAAGGCAGGCCCCAGGCTGGGGGGACAGATGGACACTCTAGAAGGAGCACGTGAAAGCCTTGTGGAGAAAGAAGGCAGAGATCTGAGGGTGGAGCCAATGTTGACTGAGGGCACGTGCTATGCCAAGCCCTTCCTGGGTGCTTTAAGTGGGCTTTCTCACCCAGGCTTCCCAGGAGCCCTGCCAAGTGGACAGTGTCCCCTGTTTTCCATGAGGACCTGGCTCACAAAGCTTAGGCAAGATCACACAGCCAGGAAGTAGCAGAACAGGTACCCCAGAAAAAGCTCTGGATGGTTCCCAGGCACCTACCTACTGCTTATCAGAATGGAGCCTCAGATGAAGTGGTGTCAGATTTTATACATATGTTTATATATGTATATGTATGTATGTATATGTGTGTGTATATATATATATGTTTTTGGGGAGAGACAGAGAGGCAGAGGGAGAGAGGGAAACTGAAGCAGGCTGCACACCCAGTGTGGACCCCGACGTGAGACTCGATCTCACAAACCGTGAGATCATGACCTGAACTGACGTCAAGAATTGGACACTTAGCCAAGTGAGCCGCCCAGGCGCCCCGAATTAGTGTAACATCAATGTGGAAGAGAAGCCAAAAGGTCACACGGTCTTTGATCTTTGCATCTGAAAACACTTCTCTGGCCACTTCGATTTCCTTTTCTGTAAAGTGGGGCAGACACCACCTCCCTCCTGAAGCTGCCATGACGGAGATCATGCGGCGACTTGTCCGGGGTCATGTAGGTGCGACGTATGGCCCTTCCCACCTCCGGCTTCCTTGGCTTCCCCAGCATCTGTTCTCGAGTCTCCGCATGACCCTGATCTAACTCGGTCCCCCCCCCCCTTCTTCCAGGACCGGCGGAGAATGAGTGCCAAGCAATCCTGTGCCGGTGCGACGAGGAGATCGCTTACTGCTTGGCCCGGACTGAGTACAACCTCAAGTACTTATTCTACCCGCGTTTCTTATGCGAGACGGACTCGCCCGGGTGTGACTGACCACCCTGACTTGGAATGTTCTTTCGCACGAGGAAATAAACCTCTTTTTCACTAATCAGCAGCCGCATTCGGTTCTTGGCAGGAGGGAATGGAGGCCGAGTGTTAAGGCTGCAACCCTTGTTTGCTTTCTCTCCCGGAACTTGGGACGGGAGCCCGTGTGGTTTCCAGTTGAAGGTCAAGAGTCCTGTGCTTATTTTATACAAACCACAACCGTGCTTATGGCTGTATTGGGTTTGGTGCCATTTTTGACGTTCATCCTTAACATGAAAAGGGCTGAATTTTGTCTCCTAACCTGCTCCCGAAGGCGGGTAGTCAGACATGAACGGACACCCGCTGCGTGCCTGGCCTCGTTCTGTGGTCCAGGATGAGGCCATACACAGGATGCTCGCTCTTGGGAAGCTCTAGTCTGGGAGTTGTGAGCTTAAGAAGGAATATTCTTTCCCATCCCCCTCCACCTAATGGTTAAACTTCCTGATTACAGAAGTGGAATATACTCAGTGCTTACAAAGATAAAGGAAAACAAAGACAACTATAAAGCAGGGAAAAAAACAATCACTCGAATTTCCTTTATCTGGAACGACCACTCGTGATATTTGTGTGTGCTGCTGGCATGGTTTTCTGTAATATTCAAAAATGCAGTTGGGACCAGAGCATGGGATTTTTGTGTTTCCCTAGGTCATTAAAAAGCCTTTGATAATTTCATTTTTTAAATGTTCTATTTATTTTTGAGAGAGAGAGGTAGAGAGAGACAGACAGATACAGAATCTGAAGCAGGCTCCAGGCTCTGCGCTGTCAGCACAGATCCCGACACAGGGCTTGAACCCACAGACCGTGAGATCATGACCTGAGCTGAAGTCGGATGCCCAATCGACTGAGCCACCCAAGTGTCCTGGAACTTCATTTTAAGTAACTATTATATACGGTTTTATAGATTGCCAGCTTCGGGGCATTGGTGATATTTCCAGTTTTGATTGATTATTGATGTGATGAGGATGCTTGGGAGTGGATCTTTGCCACACCCCACCACCCACCCGTCTATTGTCCCCTAACCCAGTGTAAGGGCCGAGGGCAGCCCGCCCCAGCACAGCCACTCCGGTATGAAGATTACTTTGAGCTGAAGGCAACAGAGACCCTGCAGGCTCAACAAGAAACCCCTGCCCCTCCCTTAACTACTAGAAGAATCTAAATTGGGGATCTGTCCTAGGATAAGGGTTATTAGCAGAGATAAGTTTTATCGGAGTGGCCCATCTGCAAGGCAGGGCAAACATCTCATTACCGAACATCTGCTCTTATCGCTCTGTGACACGCAGGTCTTCCTTTTGAAGTCCCGCACCCCCACCCCCTTCTCCTTAGTTCAGGATGACACAGGGTCCCGCCCATCTTCGGAATATCCACGCCTGCGTGGCTCCCCCACATGTACAAAGTCAAATTTGATTTTCTCTCACGTTACTCTGATTCTCACTCTAGCCAGAAGGACCTTGGATGGGGACAGGAATTCTTACTCCCTGAAAGATTTGCAGAAGTGGAGGTTTTGGATCAAAGGGTCTGAATATTTTCGACAAACGCCCCCTTCTGCTGTAGCCAAGCCCGCTAAGACTGAGAGGGACTGAGGGAGGAGGCAGCCGGCGGCCCTTGCCCTGAATGCACCTGTCTCTGCGCTGGCGATAAGCCGGCGTCCAGCCCAGCCTGCTGGCTCTAGGCATCTTTGCCCTTCGTCCTTCACAGCACATGTGTGGCTATTACTCACTCATCTTTGGAGCAGGATGTGGGGAGCGGGCGGGGACAGTGTGAGGCCACAGGGTGCAGGTGGGGACACGGGACCGGGCCCAGCCCCACCGATGCCAGCCAGCCTCCGCGTGCTCGTGTGGGCGGGGGAACAGCAACTCAGCGAGGCACCAGACTGGCGGTGTGCAAATACTGTGCGGCGTCCCCAGACCTGCTGCCGCTGTCCGTGACATAGGTGAACTTGGGCAGTCCTGGGGCCTGATGAGCAAACACAGGAGGCAGAAAAACACTCTCCCTCCTTTCACCTGACATGTTAGGGTGGCTCCCCGGCTCCCTGTTCACAGCAGCCTGGGGGACGGAAGTGTGACTAGTAGGCTGTATCAGGCAATGTGGATTTTCTGCACCGGTTCTAAGCATTTATTTTTTCTCTATACAGTATTAAAAATTTTTAAGCTTACCTGTTTTGAGAGAGGGAGGTAGGGAGAGAGAGACAGAGTGAGAGGGAACCCTAAGCAGGCTCTGCACGGTAAGCCACGTGGGGGTCAAACTCAAACCATGAGATCATGACCTGAGCCAAAGTCGGACGCTTAACTGACCGAGCCACCCAGGCACCCCTAAAATGTTTTTTAATATTTATTTATTTGTTTTGAGAGAGAGTAGGGAGGGCAGAGAGAATCCCAAGCAGGCTCCCTACTATCAGCCCCATGCAGGGCTTGAACTCATGAATCACAAGATCATGCCTTGAGCCAAAAATCAAGAGTCAGACACTTAACCAACTGAGTCACCCAAGCGCCCCTGTAGAATTTTCAAATATATAAAAAATCTTTATTTTGCTTTCAAGTGATTTCTTCAAACTTTCCGATGCAAAGTTTGAGTGAAATCCTCAAAGATCCAAAGGATTAATGACTGGTTCAGAGTCACAAAACGACACTGTGGATGCAAGCTTACCTGTGTGGGGCCAATCTTCAGATGGCTCCCATTTGCACTATTTTCATTCTGGAAGGAAATAAAAGGCCCTACTTCATCTTATTCATATTTACAATTACAGCACTTGGTGTAATTATACCTTGCTGTTTTATACATCAGAACAGGACAAGAAGATTATACAGTGTGAGGTCAAAGTACAAAATGTTTCCGTGAACGCAAGAGCTATCCTGGATTTTACAGATTAAATTCCTGAAAACCAAACACATCAACCCCCACACAATGATTTTAAGTAGCACTGAGGCAGCTTGGCCTGAGGTGAATGACTCTCATCACTGCCTGCCTCCTCCTCGACCCCCTCCTCGGAGTCAGGGACCCAAAGCTGCAGAGATGAAATGCAGAACACACTGACGACGGTCTGATCACCCCTCCGTCTCAAATGGAGCCCTTGGAGCGGCTTCACTCTGAGAACCCTGCCATTTCTTCACAATACAGCATCGTGCGGCGGAGTTGGGCTTTTCCTCTGTGTTTCTTAGGGGCAGCTGTCTGTGCCGAGGACAAAATCTTTTCCCGTCTTCCTAAATTTGATTTAGAGGACAGGCCTGGCCCCAACAAGCCCGGGCTCAGGCTCAGCCTCGGGCTGCGACTCGCCCTAGGAGCCTCTGTCTGTCGCTGAGGTCAGGGCAGGTGGGACCGCTGTCCCAGCAGTCTGCTAAAGTCATCATACTGTGTCCTCTGGGGAGCCCAGGTCCTGGACAGCCGTGGCAGACTGAGCCCCCCAAGTCCCATGAGGATGGCTGGGTGGGAGGTGCTGTTGCCGTGTCGGCCATGCTCTGGGATGTCGGTCCCCGCTGCCACCATGCCACAGGGAGAGGGAGTGGGGACCTGGCTGTGGCCTCTGACAGAGCAGCCCTGTGTTCACGGGGCGTAGAAACAGGAAGTCCACCCCCTGCCCCCCACTGAAGCATCCGTGCTCACGTGCCAGAGACTGGAGGAATCTTCCAGAGACTGAGCACCGCCAGTCACAGCACCTGGGTTTCCAGCCGTCGGACTTCCTTGACCACGAGATCGATGTTAATGATTGGGTTGAAGTACAGGGCCCAGTAAAATAGACAGTTGCAAACGAACTGAGGGATGAGGGGCCAGAACATGGCCACAAAAAGCCCCTGTGTTGACACTTTCCAAAAATGGCTCCACATCCTCTGAGGCACAGTCCTGCAGAAAGAAGAGAAGCCTCTAAGAGGCGGGCTCGAGCTCGGCCAAGGGCTCGGGCCCCGGGCCCCTTCCTAACGCACAGCCTGGCTGCCTGTGCTGCACAGACCTTGCTGCCTGTCCCCGGGGCCAGAGACACACCTCTGCCTGGTGCCCCAGCCGCCCCATCCTCTGCTCCCGGGATGCAGTCCCCACAGCAGGTGAGGACCTCCCGGCGCAGCCCCACCTGCTACATTGCCATGTTGTGCTTATATGTATCCGATACACATATTTTCTCTGCGAGGCTGTTGGGTCCAGACTGTATGGTCGTCTTCTTTACCAACACATCTGCAGTGCCCAGCAGAGGGCCAGGGGCAGAGCAGGGCCGCACCTAACCGTGCGTGAATAAGTCAACGGGATTCCTGTCAGGGTTCTAGAACTGTTTATAGGCCTGTTACTGACGAGGCCAGGAACTCTTTGGGACGTTTAAGGCGGGTGTGGTTGGCATGGGGCTGTTACTTCTGCCTGCCCAGGAACCATCCCTTTTTCTAGAAACACCTTCTGAGTTTTCCTTCTGGGGGCCTCCTTCCTCATTCCTTGCCATGTGGTCTCGGTGGGGCTGATGAAGCCAGCCCTTGGTTGGGGGTGAGGGCAGGCCTTGAGCCCAGACCGTGGGGTAGGTCTGGGTGGGCATGTGACCCAGGCTGGACCAATGGGAGTGAAGGAGCCTGAGCCCCGAGATCGGAAATGCTATGGGGAAAGAAGTGCCCTCTCTCCAGCAGAGCTGCTAAGCTGCTCCACTGTACATCTGGGGTGACCAGGGGCCCCGTGTGGAGTGACGGCCTGAGGCTGAACAACACAGAGGGAGTCCCAATGACAGCATTTGGGTCTGGGTCCAGCCATGCAGGAAACCTTGACTGGACATTTCTGTTTTTAGGAAGGCCAAGTTAGGTGCCTGGGTGGCTCGGTCGGTTAAATGTCTAACCCTTGGTTTCGGCTCACGTCGTGATCTCACAGTTCATGAGTTCAAGCCCCGCATCAGGCTCCGTGCGGACAGTGTGGAGCCTGCTTGGGAATTTGTCTCTCCCTCTCTGCCCCTCCCCTGCTTGCTCTTTCTGTTTCTCAAAAATAAAGAAATAAACTAAAAAATTAAAAAAACAAAAACAAACAAACAAACAAAAAAACCAGGATGGAAAGCCAATTTAGGCTGGTTTCTGTCACTGGCAACCAAGAGTCCTGGCCCAACCTTCTCACATTATACATTCATCTAGAGAAGTTATTAGTGTCCTGACTGGTGGCAGAGCAGGATTAGAACTCACGCCCACAGACTTCCCATCAGATCTCCTTATGCTCCACCATACTACCCTTTCCATGGAGCACCGGCTTCCTCTCACTTACGTGCTCCTTAATAAAATCCTCACACACCCCCACCCTTGGGAATCACGTGGTATGTTATTAATGGGGATAAGATTAAGGGAGAAACACCTGTACAGTGAGCAGCACGAAAGCTTCCCCACCTCCAGACACTAGGAACGTTTCCTATCTGCTGCCTAAGCCATGTCTCTAACCACAGCAAGGAGTGTATTCACGTCTGCGAAATCGGGGACTCTCCTGCCACCTGGGACGTCTTTCTCAGTGCCCGCTGCTCCTGCCATTTCCAGCGTAAAAACACACTTACTTCAGTTCACTTCTTGACCAGATCCTCCAGAAGGAGAATAACTCCAGAACCGAGAGTAGCATGGCATTGACAATGAGAAAACGTGACGTCCAGTAATGGACCTCCAGCCAATCCCAAGCAAATTCAGCAATCAGCTGGTACGGAAGGAACGAGTATTTGACAAGGAATTCTCTCCACTGCTTCCAAGTGGGCTCTCTAAGGTCCTTTAGCATAACATAAAAGTAAGCAAAAAATGGACACAAAAGATCGTGAGGATTGACTTTTATGGAGAATACTGTGGTCATCACAGTGAACTTTACATTTATTAAAACACACAGATAGCCAACAACATAACACAAAACTTCCACCCATCAACTCACCTTTTAAGAATCTGACACTGGATAAATGTTACCGAAGAACCGAACAGAGATATTGGTTATGGAACTGTGGAAGCTCAGAAGTAAAAACCTAAGCCTGAGTTATAAATAATGAGGTTGGAGGGGTGCCTGGGTGGCTCAGTCGGTTAAGTGTCCGACTTCAGCTCAGGTCATGGTATCACGGTTCATGGGTTTGAGCCCTGCGTCGGGCTCTGCTGACAGCTCAGAGCCTGGAGCCTGCTTTGGATCCTCTGTCTCCCTCTCTGCCTCTCCTCTGCTAACAGTCTCTGTCTCTCAAAAAATAAATAAATAAATAAAAACGTTAATGTTTTATTTATTTCTGAGGGAGAGACAGCGTGAGCAGGGGAGGGGCAGAGAGAGAGATACAGAATACGAAACAGACTCCAGGCTCTGAGCTAGCTGTTAGCACAGAGCCCGACATGGGGCTCAAACCCATGAACCGTGAGATCATGACCTGAGCCAAAGTTGGATGCTCAACTGACTGAGCCACCCAGGTGCCCCAAAAAATATAAAAAAAAAAAAAAAAAAAAAAAAGAGTTGGTCGCATGACTGACTGAGCTACCCAGGCGCCTCTAGAAATGATTTTAACATTTGTGGGTTGGATCCCGTATGATGATTCCTATATCCAAGTGACCTTTAATTTAAATAGATCAGACGAGGGTCGCCTAGGGGGGTCAGTCAGTTGAGCGTCCGACTTCGGCTCAGGTCATGATCTCGTAGTCCGAGGGTTCGAGCCCTGCGTCGGGCTCTGTGTAGAAAGCTAAGAGCCTGGAGCCTGTTTCAGATTCCGTGTCTCCCCCTCTCTCTGCCCCTCCCCAGCTTGTGCTCTGTCGCTGTCTCAAAAATAAAAAAATGTTAAAAAAAAAAAATAAAATAAAATAAATAGATCAGAGGGACTGCCCCAAGAGCAGCAATGCAAAGGACATTCCCTGAAATGACCAACCAGACAAAGAGTCAGCCCTGAGTAAGTGGGAGCCACCAACAATTCTGAAGACACAAAAGCCAAGGTGGGTCTCTATCTCTGCCAGGGGCCTGTGGTCAGCTGAGGGGACAACTCCCACCACTGAGCTGGACAGTGGCTTAGGATGGACAGGAAGCCTCCCGTGGGGTGGGACAAATAGTCACCCTTTGGGGATCCTCTTACGGACACAGTACTGAAGCTGGAAGGTCCATAAATTTAAGCTTTGGGCAATCAGGACCTATTCTGCCTTCTGTTATAACAAAAGCAATGCCGGTTTTCCCCCCCTAAATAGTTCAAGTCCAGCAGGGAGCCTTCTTATTACCCAATGCAGGAAACAAGACAGGCTTCTGGGAGAGGGGAAGCTCTGCTCGATTCGCTTTCATAGGGGTTCTCCTTGCAAAACACAGACAAAGGCTGGGTGTGGCTGGCTCTCTCACAACTCCCGCCACGGCTCGGATTCCATGCTGCGCCGAGAAGAACCACTCAAGGCACTCTGCAGACCTACCAGAAGCTTGGTGATGATGTTGTCGCTGGAAACGTCTTCCTGCAGAGGGCAGATGGTGTGGATGAAGGGCAGGAAGGTGTCTGTGTAGTCGAACAGGTAGAGGTACAGCAGGCCGAGTCTCGGGGAGCTCTTGAGGGCATACAGCAGGAACAGGGACCTGCCCGGGTTCACGGCCTATAGATGACACGGTGAGGGCAGGGTTACATCACAGCTATGGCGGCCAGCCCCCCACCCAGGCCCCCTCCGCGGTCTCATGCCCGTTGCCTGCAGCTTTTGTGTGTGTGTCTTCCACAGTGAATGAGTGGTAAGAAAAGGTTGATTGTACCATGCACACTTTCAGATCACAATGCTATGAAACTTGAAATCAGTCACAGGAAGAAGTCTGAAAAACCTCCAAAAATATGGAAGTTAAAGAACACCCTATTAAAGAACAAATGGGCCAATCAGGTAATAGGAGAAGACATTTAAAAAATATATGGAAACAAATGAAAATGAAAATACAACAATCCAAACTCTATGGGATGCGGCAAAGGCAGTCTTAAGAGGGAAGTACATTGCACTCCAGGCCTATTTCAAGAAATTAGAAAAAGCGCAAGTCCAAAATCTAACAGCGCACCTAAACGAACTAGAGGGAGAGCAACAAGAGCGCCCCAAACCCAGTAGAAGAAGAGAAATAATAAAAATCAGGGCAGAAATAAACAATATAGAAACCAAAGAAACAGCTGAACAGATCAATGAAACCAAGCGTTAGGTTTTTGAAAAAATAAACAAAATTGACAAACCTCTAGCCAGGCTTCTCAAACAGAAAAGAGAGAGCACTCAAATAGACAAAATCGTGAATGAAAATGGACTTATGACCACCAACCCCTCAGAAATACAAGCAATTATCAGGAAATACTATCAAAAAGTATATGCCAACAGATTGGACAACTTAGAACAAATGGACAAATTCCTAAACACACACTCACTACCAAAATTCACATGGGAAAAGATAGAAAATCTGAACAGACCCATAACAAGTGAAGAAATCGAATCCATTATCAAAAATTTCCCAACAAATAAGAGCCCTGGGCCAGATGGCTTCCCTGGGGAATTCTACCAGACATTTAAAACAGAATTAATACCCATTTTTCTCAAGCTATTCCAAAAAACAGAAATCGAAGGAAAACTTCCGGATTCATTTTATGAAGCCAGCATCACTTCGATTCCCAAGCCAGACAGAGACCCAGCAAAAAAAGAGAACTACAGGCCAATATCCTTGATGAATACAGATGCATAAATCCTCCACAAGATACTTGCAAATTGGATTCAACAGCACATAAGAAGAATTATCCACCATGATCAAGTGGGATTCATTCCTGGGTTACAGGGCTGGTTCAATATTCACAAATCAATCAATGTGATACATCACATCAAGAAAAGAAAAAATGAAAACCATATGATCCTGCTGATAGATGCAGAAAAAGCACTTGACAAAATACAGCATCTCTTCTTAATAAAGACCCTCGAGAAAGTCAAAATAGAAGGAACTTACTTACACATCATAAAAGCCACCTATGAGAAGCCCTCAGCTAACATCATCCTCAACGGGGGAAAAACCGAGTGCTTTCCCCCTGAGATCAGGAACACGACAGGGATGTCCACTCTCACCACTGCTGTTTAACATAGTGCTGGAAGCCCTAGCATCAGCCATCAGACAACAAAAGGAAATCAAAGGCATCAGAATTGGCAAAGACGAAGTCAAACTTTCAGTTTTCGCAGATCACATGACACTCTACGTAGAAAACCCAACAGACTCCACCAGAAGCCTACTACAACTGATCCATGAATTCAGCTAAGTTGCAGGGTACAAAATCAACGTACAGAAATCGGTTGTATTTTTATACACCAAAAATGAAGCAACAGAAAGAGAAATCAAGACACCGATCCCATTCAAAATTGCATAAAAAAACATAAAATATCTAGGAATAAACCTAACCAAAGATATAGGAGATCTGTATGATGAAAACTATAGAACACTTATAAAGGAAACTGAAGAAGACACAAAGAAATGAAAAACATTTCATGCTCATGGACTGGAAGAATTAATACAGTTAAAATGTCATTACTACCCAAAGCAATCCCTACACATTCAATGCACCAGGATTCTCCTCAAAACTAGAACAAACTATCCTAAAATTTGTATGGAACCACAAAAGACCCCAAATAGCCAAAGTAATATTGAAGAAGAAAACCAAAACGGGAGGCATCACCATCCCAGACTTTAGCCTCTACTACAAAGCTGTCATCATCAAGACAGTACGGTATTGGCACAAAAACAGACACATAGACCAATGGAACAGAATAGAGAACTCAGAGCTGGACCCGAAAATGTACAGCCAACTAATCTTTGACAAAGCAGGAAAGAGTATCCAATGGAAAAAAGACAGCCTCTTTAACAGATGGTGCTGGGAGAACTGGACAGCAACATGCAGAAGAATGAAACTAGATCACTTTCTCACACCATGCACAATACTAAACTCAAAATGGATAAAGGACTTGAATGTGAGACAGGAAACCATCAAAACCTTAGAGGAGAAAGCAGGAAACAACCTCCTTGACCTCAATTGCAGCAACTTCTTACTTGACACATCCCCCAAAGCAAGGGAATCAAGAGCAAAAATAAGCGATTGAGACCTCAGCAAGATGAAAACCTTCTGCACAGCAAAGGAAACAACCCATAAAACTAATAGGCAACTGACAGAATGGGAAAAGATAGTTGCAAATGACATATCAGATAAAGGGCTGGTATCCAAAATCTATAAGGAACTCAGCAAACTCCACACCTGAAAAACAAACAATCCAGTGAAGAAATGGGCAGAAGACATGAACAGACACTTCTCCAAAGAGGACATCCAGATGGCCACGAGACACATGAAATGATGTTCAGTATCCCTCATCAGGGAAATACAAATCAAAACCACACTGAGATACCACCTCATGCCAGTCAGAGTGGCTAAATGAGCAAAGCAGAGAACGTGAGATGCTGGCGAGGATGTGGAGAAACGGGCACCCTCCTACACTGTTGGTGGGAATGTAACCTGGTGCAGCCCCTCTGGAAAACAGTGTGGAGGTTCCTCAAAAAATTAACAATAGAACTCCCCTAGGACCCAGCACTAGCACTGCTAGGAATTTATCTAAGTGATACAGGAGTGCTGATGCATAGGGGCACATGGACCCCAATGTTCACAGCAGCACTCCCAACAGTAATCAAAACATGGAAAGAGCCTAAGTGTCCATCAATGGACAAATGGATCAAGAAGATGTGGTTTATCTACACAATGGAATACTACATGGCAATGAGAAAGAATGAAATCTGGCCATATGTAGCAACATGCATGGAATGTGAGGGTGTTATGCTGAGCAAAATAAGTCAGGCAGAGAAGGAAAGATACCATGTTTGCACATATAGGAGGATTAGAAGGAACTTAACGGAGGACCATGGGGGAGAAGAAGGGGAAAAATAGTGGGGGGGAGGGAGGCAAACCATGAGAGACTGTTGAATGCAAGAGAACAAACTGAGGGCTGATGGGGGTGAGAGGGAGGGGAAAGAGGGTGATGGGCATGGAGCAGGGCACTTGTGGGGAAGAGCACTGGGTGTTATATGGAAACCAACTTGACAATAAAATATTAAAAAAAGAAAAAGAAAAGGCTGATTGGTCAATCTGTTGCGCTGTATTTAATAAAGGCCCAACCCTTCTGCATGGCTTCGGTGTGTGGGGGTGGGGGGCACTGAGATGCACACTCCTAGCACTGCTGACCTGACAGCTGCTAAAACCCAACCTTGCTGGAAAACGATTTTGTAACATGTATCAAAGAGTCTTCAAAATGTTCACTTTAACCAATCTATTCGTGGGCACCACTTGCAATAAAAGGAATCAGAAACACAGAAGTGCTTTATGCACAAAATATTTCGAGCTGCGCTGTGGAGGAGCGAGAAAAAGGGAAACCTGAGACATAAGTGATGAAGTTACAGTAGATGTTTAGCACAAAGTTCTTGCAGCCGTGCAAAAATGAACATGGGCCTGCAAAAATGAACATGGGCCGTTTTGGACGGTGCTCATGTTACAATGTTTGGTGAGAAAAGATTCAAAGACAGGCAGCAATCTGATCTCTGATCTCGCCAGTGTCAGTCCTATACAAACCAGGCCTCCTTCGCGTTCCTTCCTAGAGCAGCACCTGGCTCACAACAGACATAAATATTTGTGGAATGAACACGTACACAAAAGCACTAATTAAACTACGCACAGAAAATGGTCTAAGAAGAAAATAGAGCAAAATGCAATGTTAAGCATGTTTGACTCTCAGGTGGGAGTATGGGCAATTTATTTTCATATTCATCATATTGGTAACATTTGCTACCAAGAATGCATATTTAGGTTTTTCCTGATTATAAAAGTAACTTTAGAGTGATTCCGTTTACTTGATGCTACTAAGCATCAAATAAAATGGTCAAAAGATATGAATGGGCACTTCACCAGGGAAGATACAGTCAGGATGTATAGCAAATAAGCACAGGACAAGATGCTCATGAAGGAACAGGAAACGGGGCTACTTTTCCACGTTACCACTGTGCACTTATTTCAATAGGCAGGGGTGGAGAGCAGGGCTCACAAAGGGGCAGGAGGTGGCTTTGGAGACTGATGAATATGTTTGTTAGCTTGATTATGGTGACGATTTCACAGGTATGTATGTCCAAACTTATCAAACTGCTGAATGGAAAAAGATGTGTACGTGTACACAATGGAATGTTACTTGGCCATAAAAACGAATTAGATCTTGGCATCTGCAACAGTATGCTGGACCTCCATGGTACTATGTTAAGTGGAATAAGCAAGACAGAGAAAGACAAATACCATCTGATCGCATATGTGGAATTTAAGAAAGAAAACAAAGAAAAAAAGATAAAAAAAAAAAAACCCCAGACTCCTAGCTACAGAGACTAAACTGATGGTAACCAGAGGCGGGGTGTGTAGGGAGATACATGAAACAGGAGATGAGGATTAAGGAGTACGCTTGTCTTGATGAGCTCTGAGTAACTTACATAATTGTTGAATTGCTATATTGTACACCTGAAGGTAATGTAACAATGTACGTTAATTATACTGGAACTCAAAATAAGGTATCAAATTATA